ATTTATAACATAAAAATTGATTTTCCGAAGATCTTTTTTATTGTTGATTTCCCCCTTTTCTGTAGCACCTAGCCCATTTGATCTAACTAATTAGCGTATGTGAGGATAAAGTGATAAAAAAAAATTATTTACGAGACAGAATTCTCAGTCACACAAGAGACCTGCCGTTGTGATCTATTTATTTTGTAACACAATACGGTGAAAATTAGCCGAGAGAAAGGCAAGAAGAAAAAAAAGGTCACACAGAACCATTTTAGTGATCATATTTATAACCCTCGTTAAAGGATTTCTTTTCCTCGTCACGTTTTACTTTGAGGTAATTACGGAGGTGCGTATCGTCTTTATTTCTATACAAGATGGACAGACCTGCGCAATCAAGCAACCATTTTTCGAGCGTCAATAACGAAGAAACCGTTTTTCGTTCTCCGCTGTAATCTTCCCCAAGAAGAACCACCTTTAACCTTCCTGTATTACCAATTTCAACTACCCTACACCCAACCTTAACATGTTTTTTCTTTTGCGCTTTAGTGTAAATATAATCCTTATCTAACCAGAACTCATCGCCTACCCTAATAGCGCGAAGTTCTTCATCTGCATCCTCATCTAATCTTTCGTCTGAAAACAAGCCGTTAGTACAAAAATGCGAAACCTGAAAGATCTAGAAAGCAAAATCCTTACTTCGAGTTTCATTGATTAAATCTTGAATCTTATTCTCCAACTCTCGTATCCTCTCATCCATGTTTTGAACGACCTTTTCCAAGTCGGGTGGAATAAAAACTGAATCAGGATTTCCCATGAAGATCTGAATGTAGTTATTAAGAACTTTTCCGATGGATGTTACATTTTGATCGTCTTCGAGTGGTTTACCACTCTTTAATTCGGATGGTACCTTTCGTAGAATATCAGCTTCATCGACAGGAATGTATACTTTCCATATTTTGAACCCACTCGTTATGATATTTTTTTCGCAAATAGCCTTTCTCATCCTGCACGATATTAACTGTTTTAAATCTTCAATCGTATCCGTCTCGCTAACCAATACATTAAATGGTTTCTCCACACCCTGAAGATAGCATAGAAGAGTGACTTCGGACATTTTTCGTTATTAGCTTAACGTCCAGGTTCAATTTGTCGTATTTATATTTCAATCCCCTACGAAAGACTAGTCAGGGATAATCATTGGTCAATCACTGCAGTTAATGATCTACAGTCTGTAGTATAGGGAAAAACATATCCTTTTGGCATAGCGATCACCCGCAAGACGCAAAGATAGCTAGCTCTTGTAGATCTCAGAATTGCAAAGCCTTTAGCCTTTTATAACATATGCTTCTGTCGTCACTATAGGGTGGGTCTTGTGTTGCGTGTAGACTTTCACATTTTTTCAAAAAAAAAACCGTGTCAAATTTATCATAATCAGCCGGAAACTTGCTTATTATCTCCATAAAGCAACTCCGCTCGGTCATAAGTTCCAAATGCTGAATCTATTTTGTTATTTTTTGGTGAAATTAAACCCCCTATAATCAACGATCGCTTAAGGTGGGTTTAGATCTGACGATCTCGGAAGATGGCGGAGATTCGAAGTCCCTGTAACATATGAATTTTGATAAAACTACTGATAAAGAACGTTATACTCATTGCCCTTATAGCCTTTTTAAGTCTCATTCTTATCGCGGGA